ACCTCCTAACGGAAGAAGAAAATACTGCAATAGAAGAATCTCAAGAAATTCAAGGGGTTAGGGTGAGATTGTGAGAGATGCATCCTATTTATATTTTTTACTAAAAAGTCTCACGAAATCCACACCAATAGAAAATCTATTAAAATTGTCGGATTTTTGAATACGACGAGATTGTGATTCCATTGTTTAAAATCTTGATTGAATACTAACGGATTTGGAGGGATTCAAAAATAATCCTTTAAAATCCTAATCGAATACCACGAGACTTTTTTTCAATCCATTAGAATCCTAATCGAATACCAACGGATTTTTTTGTCCAAAAACAATGCATTAAAATTCTTTGAAATCTCAATCCAACACACCCCCTTAAGATATCTGTTTGTTTGGATTGTTTAAAGAAATTTCTTTTATTTGTTAAATTATAAAAAGATATTATTTAAATTATGTAATTCTAACATTTTAATGTAAATTTGGTAAAAATGATCAACGAGAGTCAAATAATCAAAGGGATTATAATTATAAATTATAATATATTGAAAATAAAATAAAACTGGAAGCGTAACATTTTGCCCAAAACAGCCTTATGTTAGAAAAAGTTGTTTCTCAAAAAAATTATGGAACCACGCACAGTGCATGAGTCACGTCGGGTCGAGTTTTTGTGTTGATCCGACCCAACTTAATTTTATAGGTTAAGTATTTTGACCCGATCCAGTTTAATTCGATCTAAGTCAGATCAGACCCGATGTGAATTTTTTTTAACTGATTCAGCAGAACTGGATCAAATTTGACCTGACTTGGTTTATGAATTGGGTTTGACTTGGTTTCAAAATCGGGTCAAATCCGACCTGACCCACTTTTGTCTTGGTTTCAAAAATTATTTTTTATTTGATTTTTTTATAGTTATTGATTTAATTTTTAAACTCAAGTAATTTAACTATTTATTTGTTTTAATATATATATAAATTATATAATAAATTTGATATTTGTTGAATAAATACCAATTCTTCAAAAAAGGTGCTAATATTACTATTCCATGGTACTAATCAGTGTCATGGGTAGCTCATTCTAACTCATAATTGATATTTGCAATTAGCAATTATCATGATTTTATTGGATCACTAAAAAGCTCCAAATTGATGATAAATTAAAAAAAAAAAAACAATTCAAACAGAAAATTATCCCATAAAATATCAGCGTAAAGATTTCATTTACTCAATGTAAGAAATTAAAATTAACAGATATTTACGAACAATTTCTGTAGTATGACTAACTCTTATTTAATCAACACTAGTGTCTCCAATCTATCCCATTTCTTGACTACCCCATGGAATCTTGGAGGCTTATAGCACATAAAATCTCCAGGTAGACAAAATAACTATTATCCTATCACATGTTGTATCAAAATTAAAACCTATGAATTTGTAATCCCTTCTGGATTCAAAGTCACTAGATCACAAATATATTTTCACATTGATCTCCGATCACTCCTATGATATGATCCAATTTCCCTCTCTACCATATCTGTGATAATATTACTAAAATTTAGATCACACAAGATACCTTTGCCCGTATTCCAACACCTCATCAAGCTTGTTTCCATTCTTATCGAGAGAAGAGAGAACCTAAACCTCAAATTGTCTTAGTGTCTCCAATCTATCCCATTTCTTGACTACCCCATGGAATCTTGGAGGCTTATAGCACATAAAATCTCCAGGTAGACAAAATAACTATTATCCTATCACATGTTGTATCAAAATTAAAACCTATGAATTTGTAATCCCTTCTGGATTCAAAGTCACTAGATCACAAATATATTTTCACATTGATCTCCGATCACTCCTATGATATGATCCAATTTCTCTCTCTACCATATCTGTGATAATATTACTAAAATTTAGATCACACAAGATACCTTGGCCCGTATTCCAACACCTCATCAAGCTTGTTTCCATTCTTATCGAGAGAAGAGAGAACCTAAACCTCAAATTGTCTTACGGTGATTTTTGGTTTTTTTTTTTCACAAAATGGGTCTGGGTCAAGTTTTGGGTCAATGAGTCAATTATTAAAACAAGTCAAGTCTAAAACTGACTCAAATATAAATAGTTCAATATTTAAACCAATTCAAAAAAAATAAGTATTTATGGGTCAGATCAAGGTCTGATCAAAAGCAGAGCAACTGAACCAGTTTTTTTGCACACCCCTACACAAGCATGCACTTCATTGATGGGAATTGTATGTCATATAATTATATGGTGAAAATCACCCCCCTATAAAACGTGATTATATCATCTGATTCATATTAAATCATGAAGGAAGATAAATAAAGAGAAACATATTTGTCTTCATTTAATGGCTTATATGATTAATAAATTAATTTGATTATAAATTTTTAAAACTTATCAATTTTTTTTATTTTACTTTAACACATGGTTAGATATATGAAAATGAGTAGACACTCAATTAGTTCATTTACTCTCACGCATCATGGGAAGATAGTAGAAACTCTGGTTAAAGATTAAATTTGGTTATGTTACCAAAAAAAAAGAAAGATTAAATTTGGTACGGTATTGAAAGATTAGTGAAATTATATTGATTATTAGAATCATGCAAAGACAGTAGAGAGCATATTAAAAATTAAATTTGGTCATTGAAAGATTAGTGAAATTATGTTGGTTATTAAATAATTTTTATACATAAATTTAATTACAGTGAATAATACTTTTGTTTAGATAATTTTGATATCAAAAAATTGTTATTTGAATATAAACTGATGTTTTGAAGGATCAAATTATTAATTAAAAAATTATTTGAGGAAAAAAATAAAATTTATTCTATCAAATTTTTGTACAAAACAACTTCTACACATTGAATTATAGTTTGCCTTATTGAGAGTAGTTAAATCCTTGTTTATGCATTCACCAAAAAAAAAAATCCTAGCTTATGCATGTCTATCTTTTTTTAAATTAATTATGAGTATATAATTTATTATTTTTAATATTTTCTTATAATTGAATTTTCTAATTTTATTTAAATTAATTATACATATCATAGTTATATTTTTTATTTAAAATATTTTAAAATTGTTTATTTAAATATTTTATTTTGTATTTTATATTTCATTAAAATTCAAAAATATCAATGCAATACATAATATTTTTCTAAATATAAATAATCAATCTAATCTAAAAGTTTAAACTGTTAGATAAACACATAATTCTCTAACAAAATACTTACTAATTTTATATACAGATTTTTTTAAAGAAAAAAAAATGTGATGTTAATTAAACCATAGGAAACAAAAAAATGAAGTTAGATGTAAATTTTGAAACGGAAAAAAATGGCAAATAACCTATCCAATTAACTAAATCTATGAATGTATTCTCACTGAGGGTGTAAATAGGCTAGATTTTGACTTAAATAGGTTAAGTTTGTGTAAAAAATATTGGGTCTAGTCTTGCCTGTTAGCCTGTGTAGGCCCCAAATTACAAGTCTGGCCTGACCTGTATTTAAAAATAAAAGCCTTGACCTAGACCTGTTAGTCTATTTAAGCCTTTTAAACATTTAACAATTAAAATAATAACTAAAATAATATTACTTTATTATTCAAATGTATTAAAATAATAATTTATTTATTTTATTTAAAATAAATAATATAATATAGGCCGACATGTAGGTTTATAGGCTCGATATGTACAAAAAAATCTATAGCCTATTTTCTAAATATGTTTTTTTAAAAACTTAGGCCTGTTCTATTTTACTATTTGTAACAGACTAAGCCTAGCCTAATATAGGCTAGGCCGTAAGTTCCTGTAGATCAGCCTAGCCCATTTACACCCCCTAATTATCACTAATTGAAAAAACAAGAAGTTGAGATTTAATGACCTTTTCCTCAAGAATGAATTTAAATAATAAACATTTCAAATTCCAGTTTTCAACCTTTTCCATCCAGACGTCACTTACAATTTTCCATACCAAAACCATTAATATTTCATCGTATCAGCTAAATAATCTTCTCTCTCTTCCCATTTTAATCATGTCTTCAAAAGTCTATCAAAATAAAAATAAAAATATTTACCTAAAATTAAAATTAAAATAAAAAATAAAAAACATGTCTTCAAAAACAGATAATATCGGGTCTGTTTGATCATTTTTTTTCTTTTTTTTTTTAAAAAAATATTTTGAAGAAGTTATAAAAACATGTGTTTTTTGTATTTTTTTATTTTAAAAAATAAAAGTCAAAACACAAAATAAAAATAACTCAGATATATTTTTCAAATTTGATTCTAAAAATAAAATTATAATTATAATTTTTAAAACTTTTTTTACAAAACAAAAGGAAAAAATATCTATCCTTTTAAAGGATATAACCCTATATCATTTTAGATCATAACCGTTGATTTTCGTCTATCAACGGTTATAATCTATTAGATCAAAATTAATGGGCCAAATTTATTATTAATTAATTAATAATTTTGATCCAATAAATTATAACTTTTGATAGACAGAAATCAACGGTTAAGATCTAAAATGATATAAAGTTATATCCTTTGAATTGAGAGATGTTGTTCCCCAAAACAAATCTTATCAAACAAATTTTTTTATTTTAAAAATCAAAAAACTGTTTTTTGAAACAGCATTAAAACAGGGTCATTTTTTCTAGTTTGTTTATTTATTTATTTATATTTCAAAACATTTCTCCTCTAAATTTTGACCTGATTTTCAATTTGTTGCAGAAAATAAACATCACCGACGGCTAGAAGAAGGAGTAGTGGGTGTGGGCCAGTTTGATTATGAATATTAATTGTTCAATGTTAAGTGGAAACCCACTTTCTCCAAAAATGGAATTGTAGTGTAGTGGTAACTGGTAAGTGGTAACCCTGCTGATTCTGACACTGACCTGACCCACACGTTATTCAATTCATTTTCCATTAAAGTCTTAATCACACACTTCAATTTGCAGCTTGCAACTCTTACAAAACCCACACACACCACCTTCAAATTCAACCCTTCACAGTTAACGCTACTCTACTGTGTCCCATTAAGATCTAATTTCCCTCTTGCTCCTCTTCTTCTTTATTTCTATTTATCTTCATATAGCCTTTTTCGTTTCTATAGTAAAGCTGGGTTTTTTATTTCCTTTTCTCATACCCAATTGGATTTCGATCTGAACCCAGTAAGCTTTTAATGTCTTTCTACTATTTTTTGCCCTTTTTTTGGGATTGTGATGGATCTGGAACATTTTGGTGATATGGGTGTGTTCGATTTGGTTGTTTTAGTGCCCATGGTGATATTTGTGGCAACTGATGTATTGAATGTATCCTGGACTCTAGTTTTTGATTGCTGTTATTAATGAGTGTTACTCGTTTCAATGCTAGTTATTGTTTTTTTTGTGTGTGTGTGTGTGTGTACAATGGCTCTGAGGTTTGAACCTATGTGCTAGTTATTGTTTTTCGTTGGGCCAGATCTGGGACTTCAGTTTAATTTTATGATTACTGTTTGTCTTTAAGATGATTAATGTTACTCGATTTAAAACCGTTGAGGTTTCCTTAATCATATTTTTGCAAAGGAATCGTTTACTTGTCAATTTAGATCATGTTTTCTTTTCATGTGGGGTGATATGGGTCCATCATTTTCAATTTTCACTGGTTTGCTGTCACTTTGCTGGATGGCTAGCATGATTGTCATCATTGCTAATTTTCACTTTTAATTTTAATTTTTCATTTTCCCTCCTCTGGCACGTTTTGTCCAAAGAATTTGGTTGAAAACTAGGAATGAATCTCGTGGGTTGAGTTGTAACTTTTATTTCACTTACACTCTAGGATTTTGCATGCTTGATCACTAATTAGATTAGGCAATATATTATGAATTTATAAATCCCGGTTTCCTTGTGATTTGGTTACTTCTCCTTGGCCATCATTTTCTTGTTTGACCTAATGTTACTAGGATTAGGGATTGCTTTAGCTGGAATGCATTGAGCCAATCGATTGCCGTTATCCTTCTAATTGTTTCTGAATATCCTCAATGATGTGATAATGCTTGCTTTGCTGAATGGTTACCCTGCTTACCTCTCTAATTGAGTTTTTTCCTACCAGGAAATAAAGAAGTTTAAAGTTAGTTTCTATATATGGATCTGTTTTCCTTATCTTAGTTTAAACGTTTTCATGATGGAAAAGTATAATAATGGTCTGCTCTTGTGATTTCATAGTGTTTATTCCTTTAATCTATCTGATTTTTTTTACTTTTTTTTGGTAATCATCTATGTGATTTAATTAAAAATCATAACAATAACACAACAGAGTAACCAATTTCTGTATTTATTTTGCTGACTGCTGTTCCCTTCCTTATTTGCAGGTTAATCATTAAGTAAGTGTGTTATGAGGAAGTTGTATTTTGAATTATGATTCTAATTTGAAGTACTGGGGTTGCTACATTTAGTGGGGTTTGTCTGGTGAATTTGACGCTGAATGTCTGGTGAATCAAAATCTTTTAGTTCATAACTGAACAGTGGAAGTTGCAATTTGGATTTGTATTACTTTCAACTTATAAATGTCGAGGGGAAGATATGATGGATCTCAGAAGAAGCGCTTAGTTGCTTCCATATGTATTGTGGCAATTTTTCTTGGTTTTCTGTATGTGTACAGAGGATCCATCTTTGGTTCCCAAAACAGCGGTTCATCTGCTCTTAGATATGGCAGCAACTCATTGAAAAGACTTGGGTCATCATATTTGGGTGCGGATGATGACACTGATGGTAAGCAAGATGAATCTTCATCAAGTTTCAGGCAGGGAGATGGGACCGATATTGTTCCAAAGAGTTTTCCTGTAAGTTGCTTTGTGAGCTTAGACTTAGGGCACATTCACTCTATGTCTTCACGCAACATTCTTGTCATTGCTCTGATCTTTCATTTTGTGCTTTCGCAATTTGGTTTAATTTGTCTTTGTATTAATAATAATAATAATCAACTCTCTTAAACAGTGTTTTTATTCAAATTCAGGTTGCCAAACTCATCAGCACAAGTATACAAGTTTAGTGAATTTCAGATAAATGCTAGATGTCAGTTAAGTAAAATGCTTAAAATGTATCGTCAAATGGAAAATTAGGAGTTGAAGAAAACCAATTCCACACCCACGATTAGTATCCAAATCAAGCAACAAGAATCTTGTTTGCATAGTGAAAATAAAATTTTTAGTTTCGTTTTACATAAATAAGCAGACACAATCAAGTTCATGCACATTGTCCTAATGTGGCTATCCTTTTGGCTCATCATCAATCTAATGGCACTTACATTGTTTCTGTTTTCGAAGGTTTGTGATGATCGTCATTCAGAGTTGATTCCCTGCTTAGATAGACATCTTATCTATCAAATGAGGATGAAGCTGGACCTGTCTTTGATGGAACACTACGAGAGGCATTGTCCTCCTGCAGAAAGGCGATACAATTGCTTGATTCCTCCTCCATCAGGATACAAGGTGAAGATTTGCTAAGAGTAGATATGATTTTCAACATATCGTCTGATACATATGTATTATTTTACTCAAACATTTGTTGTTCCTTGATGTTGCAGATCCCTATTAAATGGCCACAAAGCAGAGATGAGGTGTGGAAAGCAAATATCCCGCATACTCACCTTGCACATGAGAAGTCTGACCAGAATTGGATGGTTGTAAAAGGTGAAAAGATAGTGTTTCCTGGAGGAGGGACTCATTTTCACTATGGAGCTGATAAGTACATTGCATCAATTGCAAATGTAAGTCTGCATCTCGCTTTATTGGTTTTCTCTATAAGAAAGATGAAATCGTTTATTTTTGTTTTCGGATTCGGAGTTCCGTTGTATTTTATGTGTGTTTATGCAAGTATCTATTTGTATGCCTACTGCTAATAATGAGAACTTTTTTGCAGTTTTCCATCTTCATTTAATGGCCTAAAAACTAGAAGTTCCAAATATTCCCTATTTTATTTTTTTAATAAATTAATGAAACATATAAGGTTTTATGTGTAATTGGTTAATTTAAAATGATATAATAATAGTTTATTTTAGATACCTACACCTTATATATTATCTCCACTTTGTTTATTTCTCTCTTATTCTTTCTCCTACCTTCTTTCATTTTATCACTATTTCAATATTTTTTTATTTGCACATACATGTAGTGTCTTTCACATCTAGTTGTGTAATATGCTTTCATTTACTGGTGGAGATATTGTAAACCTTTCATATGTCTCCACTCTCCACCTAGTAGCTTAAGCTTCTAGAGAAATTAATCCTTTATTTTGTATCAAGTGGTCAAGAGTTCGACTTTTGCTTCCCCGTTTTTTATAATTAAATTAAATTTCATCACAAAGTAAAAGTGGGCATTTCTTTTTCCTCACTTCAAGTCTAACAGGTTCTTGTATGAGGGGATGTATTAGACATATAACACTCATATTCTTTAAATAAGTTATTATGCTTTTCAATACCAGTGCTGGTTGTTTGATGTGTTCTGTTTATCTAGATTTGCTTGTATTTCATGTATAAATCATTATCTTAACATTCCAGTTTGCATTTGCAGATGCTTAACTTTTCAAACAATATTCTAAATAATGAAGGAAGATTAAGGACAGTGCTTGATGTTGGTTGTGGTGTTGCAAGTTTTGGAGCCTATCTTCTTTCATCCGATATCATTACAATGTCTTTGGCACCGAATGATGTACATCAAAATCAAATTCAATTTGCCCTAGAAAGAGGAATTCCTGCATATCTTGGTGTCTTAGGAACTAAGAGACTCCCTTACCCCAGCAGATCTTTTGAACTTGCTCATTGTTCTCGTTGTCGAATTGATTGGCTTCAAAGAGATGGCATACTACTTCTTGAACTTGACCGATTGCTCAGGCCAGGAGGTTATTTTGCATACTCATCTCCAGAAGCATATGCTCAGGATGAAGAAGATCTAAGGATATGGAGAGAAATGAGTGACCTTGTGGGGCGTATGTGTTGGAAAGTAGCTGCAAAAAAGAACCAAACTGTCATCTGGCAAAAGCCTCTGACAAATGACTGCTATATGGACAGAGAACCTGGTACTCGCCCTCCTCTTTGCCAGTCTGATGATGATCCAGATGCAGTTTGGGGAGTAAATATGGAAGCTTGCATAACACCTTACAGTGATCGTGAGTACCTTTATCACAGTGTTATTTGGTGGTTTTTGCATTGTATGGCTTAATAGTGGCTTCTTTACTGCCATGCATTTTTTCTTTCTGGTGTATTTTCCAATTGTATATTTATTCTATGGTTTCTATGGCCCATTCGGGCAATAAGAGTTTATTTCCTTTAGTTGCAATGGACTGTTTGATTTCATCCAAGTAAGCAAAATGGACCTGAGAAATAAGGCTTGCTTGCATACTGAGACTCTGTCCATGGACTACTTCTCTCTTGGTAGAGGAATATTAGCTTACGAGAACTGCTGTTAAACAGTGAATTACGGTGTTTCTATTTCCTTTCTCTCTAAAGAAGAATGGGAAGATGTGTTTTAATATAGACCTGCATCCATCATGACTGCAATTGCACTTCCCCTTCACCAGTCTTCTTGGTTTATATCATCCACATATAACCTGCTATGAGCTGTTGTTGCTGAGTGCACTTAATTGAAATCCTCAATATCTATTAATTTCAAGTGCATTCTTAATTTCCCATCCTATGCTACTGTATGGATGCAAGGGTGAGCCTTTCTGCGTTGTGCCTTGTGAATTTGCTTTAAGTGCATGTTGCTTGTATCTCAAGCTGCTAAAATCCTGCTTTAGTTTTTTTGTTTAATCTTGTTTAATTATTAAAGAGGATAATTTTTTGAAGAGTTTTAGCCTTTTATAATTAACTACAGCTGTGTGTATGAAACTTACCTACTGAAACTTTTGTTGATTTAACAGATGACAACAGAGCCAAGGGTAGTGGATTAGCTCCATGGCCGGCAAGATTGAGCAGTCCTCCTCCTAGATTAGCTGACTTTGGCTATTCAAATGAAATGTTTGAAAAGAACACGGTAATTCAAAATTACAATTGATCCTCTTGTTAACTTTTTAAATTATTTTTTTTTTCACTGTGATCAGACTTCAGAGAGATTTTGTATAATAACAGTATACATTTTGATAAACCAAATGTTGTCTTGAATTTTGTCACGTGGTATAGGAACTATGGCAAAGGAGAGTTGAGAAGTACTGGAATCTCTTGAGTCCAAAAATCAAATCAAACACGTTGAGAAATATTATGGATATGAAAGCAGATATGGGTTCATTTGCAGCTGCTCTAAGACGCAAGGATGTTTGGGTGATGAATGTTGTACCTCAAGATGGACCAAACACACTTAAGCTTATATATGACAGAGGCCTCATAGGCACTACTCATGACTGGTATTGAAGTTGGTTTACTTGCGTTATAAATTTATTGCTTCTTCGATATCTTTCTATGCATTTGAGGCATTTTATTCTTATGAACTATACATGTTCTGACTTCTGATATCTAGATTCATTTTCCAATGAGGCTTCCCCCCCCCTAAAGTATCTTTCATATGGTTCTTGTTCTGTATATTTATTCCAAATAGACACTTTACAGAATTTAACATAATGATAATTTAATCAAATAAAATAATATTTTTGTCATAATCTTAGAATAAAAAATTTATTTCATTAAAAAGCATAATCAATCCAGATTTTTGATTTATGTCTCTTGTGATTTTACACAAAAATTGCATTTTGAAAGTAAATATTAACTTGCATTCTACTGTATAGCTACTTCAAGAGTGTTAATTATATATTATTTTTATTTTTTGGGGATAAAACCATAGAATTTAAGCGGGGTCTCATTTTTCATGGCTGTTTGTCAAATAATCTCTTGGGTGGTGTCTTCTTTTTCTTTTTCTGATTTTGTAAGGTTTATATAGACTAAATAAAATATATTAATATGCAGAGATCTTAATTGACCCAGCTGGTTGGGTGATTTGACTAATTAAGCACTTCTTGAGAATTGTTGTTTATTCTAGATTATAAATTCAGCTGTCATTTTTTATTAGTAGTTCCTCTATGAATGATGAGAATTGATTGGATTCAAAGTTTGAGTTTTTGATGTGACACATCTTAAACAGGTGTGAAGCATTTTCAACATACCCCCGGACTTATGATTTACTCCATGCATGGACTGTATTCTCTGACCTAGAAAAGAAAGGTTGCAGTCTGGAGGACCTATTAATTGAGATGGATCGCATGCTTAGGCCTACTGGTTTTATAATCATCCATGATAAGCCTCAGGTTATTGATTTTATAAAGAAGTACCTAACTGCTTTCCACTGGGAAGCAGTTGCAACTGCAGATTCCAGTTCTGACTCTGTACAGGATGGTGATCAAGTTGTTTTTATCATCCAGAAGAAGTTGTGGCTGACCAGTGAAAGCTTTAGGGATACGGAATAATGAATAGGGCTACCATTGCATTTTCATTTTCATTTTCATTTTCTTATATATTATCTGCTGCTACAAGGGATCAAAGCACGTCCCAAGTGGGGGGAGGCAGTGGTTGACTTCATTTTGTAGCATTACATAATGTTTTTCTTTTCTTTTCTTTTCTTTTCATTTCATTCCCTTCTTTTTGATTCTCAATTTTTGGGATAAGGCTATTCAAAATTTTGCCTGCATTTGGGTATTATGTAAGCTACACTTAATAACCAAGACATAGTAGACTTGATGATACAAGTATGTATACATAAGGACCTGTCACTTATAAGTTATGTGTAATATATAAACATGCATTTTTATTTTCATCTGTTTTTTCGCTTTATTAATTTTTTGCTATTATTGTGTTGAGAATAATATCTAATATCAAGGCTTTAATGGGTGGTGGGCGTAGAGTGAATATGGTCAAAAGCAAGCCAATGAAGCCGGTAGGCATATGGTAACCATGATATTGATATTGGAGTATGAGGTGGCACTGAGGATGTGTAATAAATAAAACTCTTTGTTTTGGAATAATATAATGCACATGTTACAAGGATTTAGGATATACAGATAAGATTATGAATAAAATCGTTAGATAATAATGTTGATTTAATTTGATAACCATTTTATTTTAATTATTATTCCAATGTAAATTTAGATAAGTTGAAATGCTGAATCATTTAAATAAACAAACATTTTTCCCATAAACAAATTGAAAATAAGAGGAATTGACTATTGAGAGATAGTATATTTTAAAAATTTATAAGAATCGAATAGATAGAATTACCAAATTTAGAGGGGAATAGATTCTCTCATGTTAAAAAGAAATAATATGATCATGTGAAAAAATTGCAATCATCCAAAACTGAATCAAAATGGTGATGATTTTGTAAGTATCTATTTTAATATTTTTTTTCTCTTTTCTTTTTATTATCATTGATTCACCTTTGTATGAATATGATTTTTCACATAATCATATTATATATTTTTTAATACGAGAGGATCCACTTCTCATTTAGAAAACCTAATTCTCCAATCCATAAATATTCGCAAACTTATTTGTCCAATCATTTTTAATATGAATTATCTGGGATTCTAAGTTTTATTTAGGCAAATAGTTAAAACTGTCTAAGAAATTAAATCCCTATTTAGTAGTAAGTAATTATAAAGCAAATTACAGTTTCATCGATTGGTCTTACCAATTTTTTTTCCTATTTGGGTATCATCACATTCTTTGGTGTGAGATTAATTCTGTTTGAAATATTGATTGGTACTAATCATTGAATTAAATAATGAGCTATCATTTGAAAATTTAAAATTATTTACTAATTTATAATGGCAAAAAAGAAAAAATTATAAAAAATAAATATAATTTAATAAACTATAAATAAAATTAATTGAAAAATGAAAATTTATCCATATTCATGGTGTATATATAAATTTTGATAGCAAAGAAAGAGAGAGATTTTATTAGAGGGCGTTTGGTACATGAGAAATTTTTTTTTATCCGAGAATCACTATTTCCAGGAAAATGATGAGAAAATGAGTTTTCTGGAAATGTTACCAAAAAGTTGTTTGGTATACTAACATATTTCCTGGAATATTGGGTTAATTTTGTTGATGTTGTGTTTAGTTGTATTAAATTTTCCCTTGCCATATAAATCTTAAAATACCACCTTCTGGATGGTATTCCTGGATGATTTTTTCAAAAAATTTACACACAAGAAAATTCCGGGAAAATCAAATTTTCGGGAAAATTTAAAAAATTATGTACTAAACGATGCATTCTTATTTACCCAACTAAGAAATTAGGGGAAAACAAAAAAAAATCCTGCTACCATAGGTCCAAAAGCAAAAAGTAGAAATAAATCTTTGGTACTACTGCTGTACCAAGACTAAGTAGTGCATCTTATCAATAAAAGCATTACATATAAGAGGAGAGAAAAAAAAAGTGACAATTTTTTTTTTAACTGACATGTAATATTTTCATTGGTGGAATACACTTTAATAGAAAGTACCAAAAGATTTATTAAAAAGGAGAGACATTAAATGATTTCCAACTATGAACATAAAATAAAATAAAATAATAGTAATAAAAAAAAAAAAGAGTAAACGAGGGAACGAATGGGGCATGAGAATGATGATCGCAAAGTGGTCCTCTCTAAGTCCCTTCCACCTTCTTTCTTAACCCCGATAATCTCGCTCCTTTAATTTCTCTCTCTACACTTTCTCTCTCTCTATATCTGACTCACTCCTTCCATTTCCACAACCTTCTGATTCCTCTCAATTTCAGGTTTTTTTTTTTTTTTTCTAACACCCTTTTATTTTTTCAGTCCAAATTTCAAGTTGGTTTACTTGTGCAAGTGCTGCTTGATTGGTTTTGATTTCGATTTCGATGATGGGTATCTTGAATTTGAATTTGATTTTTTTTTTTAATTTTTTTAATTTTTTTAGGATTGTGTTTGGTTTGGTTGGTTAGAACATGTGAGAAGTGAAGTAAAAGTCAATTTTTTTTGGTGATGGTGATGGTGATGGGGTCACTGCGGTTGTTCAAAATTATGATTTGACCGTGTTTCTGTTTGCCCATTTGAGGGATTTGACTTGTACCGTGTGAAATGGAGTGTGGGTGATGAGCATGTGGGGATCACTGTTTGGACAGAAAATAGGTTCTGAAGCTTTGAATTCCATGGTTTCTACGTTGTTTTAGGCTTTTGGGAAATCTAATAGTTTACCTCAAGTTCAATTGTGCTATTAAACTGTTCTGAACTGAACAGAGGATAATCAATTTGTTTCCATCAGTTTTCAAGCATTGCAAATTTGATCAACTAAAGATTTTTGTAGTCTAGTTTTGCTACAAAATAAGGATCTTAGCGAATAGTTCACATTTTCTGAACTTTATGCTGCGTTGTTCCACTTTTGCTGTGTTTAGGTTTAATTACATTCTTAGTAGAGCATTTGCTCACTTGCTCTCACAATTTATCTAGTTCAAATAGGATTATTTTTTATCTCCCCTTTCCCCTTTGTGCTGTGTTCTTTATTCTTACACCAAATCAGCTCCTAAACTTCTCTTTGTTTATTTTTGTTTGTTAGTATCCATTGTCGCTTCTGATCTGATGATTCTAGATTATTTTTATACTCTATCTTTTTGTTGAAATTTTGCTTCTGATCAGCTGAAAAAATATGATCGATGCTAAAGTTTTTTGATTCGTTGCCATTTATTCTCCTATTTGGACAGAAGTAAGAGTTAACGTGCCTTGGATTCTTATGGTGAACAATGTCTCCTTGATTTTCATGGCTGGCAAAATTAGATTCTTGGTTGACAAAGCTGCTATTTTCTAGTGGTTGGTGAATTAGAGTATATTACACAGCAGCTTAAGAGCTTAATAAAATGGATAGTTGCTGGTTTAATAAGTTTAAGTCAAAGGAAAAAACACCAACTTCAAAAAACAAGGATATAGGCATTGCAAAAGAAGGGTCAAAACCCCCAACAAATGAAGAAGCACCTTCAAATGTGACCAAACAGAAGGTTGCAGCTGCAAAGCAGTACATAGAAAACCATTATAAGAAGCAGATGAAGGACCTGCAGGATAGAAAGGAACGGTATGTTTACTTCAACTTATATTTTGGGTCAATATGATTGTGCAATCTAATGTTACTGATGATTTTTGTGCCATTTAAAGTAGTTGTTTAAGCATACTTATAGTCATCTATAAGGAAATATAAATGAGATTTCTTTAATGTCCTTGCTCTTTGTTGCCCCAGCTCAATAAGGTGCCAACTAGTATTCTTTGACTTTGGAATATAGTTTTGTATGATATTATTGACATCTTGTCCTATATTGTCTCTGATGAGCTGTTATAATTATGTACAAATAAATTCTGCCAATGGAGATTGCTGTAAGTTCTTAACAAGTCTAAAACATTATTCTTGCAGACGTGATATGCTAGAAAAAAAGTTGGCAGATGCTGAAGTCTCTGAGGAAGAGCAGAACAACTTGCTCAAGTATTTTGAGAAAAAGGAGAGGGAATACATGCGCCTTCAAAGGCATAAGATGGGGGCTGATGATTTTGAGCCCCTGACCATGATAGGGAAGGGTGCTTTTGGAGAGGTATAGCCTACCTTTATTTTCATTCAAGCAAAACCATGTTTCTGATCTTTCCCATATGTTACTTTGATCTTAATGATTTTTATCTTAGTATCATAGTTCTTGGTGATAGCATTACTGTTTCCTTAAGTAAATAAAAGGAATTGACTTGATATGTACGTGTGGAGACTGCAGATGTTGATTGAAACCAAAAATCTATCATTAAGACATTAACTTTTTTTTATTTTACATTCATATGGTTCCTGTATTTTTTTATGTCTTGGCTGTTAATGATATTTAGAAGTGCACAGGAGTCCAAAGTTTTCTAATTTGATTGGGAGTAATGGAAATCACTTTAGCTGTTTGAGTCCATATGTATTCTACAAGTTACAATGCTTATGGTGGAAAAATGCAGATTGAAGTTATAGCCTAGGGTGTGCCAGCTAGGGAGAAGTAGCACCTCAACATTGTTAACAGCAGTGCAATTTTACATTTCAAAATTGACAGTAGTAGTGGAGGTTTACCATTAAGAATAACTCATTTTACAATCTTGATAACCTTGGTATATAGACCCTTCTCATTATTTTAAACTGTCTATCATAATGAATTTTTGAATTATTCCATTTGCAAAGCAACCTCAGGCCCTTGTTTCGTATGTTAGCCATTTCCATCATACACTATCCATTGGAGCTTTATGAGGAGGTCTGATTAGTGACTAGTGTATTGATTGCATAAACTTTTTGGCTTCTAGTAATAATTTTTTTGCTTCTCTCGATGCGTAATAACTCAGGTTTCTAGTAGGATCTGTAACTTCTATTGTGGAAATTTTGTCATATGATTTTTTATGGCTTTGCAAATTTATTTTATTTTATGCATAGGTCCGAATCTGTCGAGAGAAGGCAACTGGTCATGTATATGCTATGAAGAAGCTTAAGAAATCAGAGATGCTTCGCAGAGGCCAGGTGTTGAAATCATCAGAACTTACTCACCTCGTGAAATTTTAAAATGAATATTATCTTGTCATCCTCATTGGTTACCTTTATGTATTTTTAGGTTGAACATGTAAAAGCTGAGAGGAACCTACTTGCAGAAGTTGACAGCAATTGCATTGTAAAGCTTTATTGTTCCTTTCAAGATGAAGAGTATTTATATCTCATAATGGAGTATCTACCTGGTGGTGATATGATGACA